TGTCCACCCACAACTAAAAAAAAAATATTTTTTAAAAAAGACAGTGGTGAGATGTTAATATATTAGAAGATCTAAAATCAAGATTAGTGACAATTCCAAATGATGATAAAAACATAAAGAAACTGGATTTCTCGTATACTGCTGATAGGAATGTAAAGTGAAATATGTACCAGGTGTGGTGACACATGCCTGTAATTCTAGTGACTCAGGAAGCTGAGGCAGGAGGATCTCAAGTTTGAAGCCAGCCTCAGCAACTCAGTAAGACCCTGTCTCAAAAAATAAAAAGGACTGGGGCTGTAGCTTGGGGATAAAGCATCTCTGGGATCAGTCTCAGCATTAAAAAAGAAAACTAGGGCTGGAGATATGGCTCGGTTGGTAGAGTGCTTGCCTCACATGCACAAGGCCCTGGGTTCAATCCCCAGCGCATGCACACACACACACACACACACAAAAAAAAAGTGCATTTTTCCAACCACTGGTTACATTATTCCTGGGCTTATATCTTAGAGGAATGAAAGCTTTTTTTTTTTTTTTAAAGAGTGAGAGAGAGAATTTTTTGATATTTATTTTTTTTTAGTTTTCGGCGGACACACATCTTTGTTTGTATGTGGTGCTACCGCTTGAGCCACATCCCCAGCCCCGGAATGAAAGCTTATATCTGCAGAAAAGCCTACATACATGCAGTTATTCATGGCAGCTTTATTTGGGTTTTTTCTTTTTTTAATTCATATATGACAGCAGAATACATTATAATTCTTATTACACACATAGAGCACAATTTTTCATATCTCTGGTTGTATACAAAGTATATTCACAGGAATTCATGTCTTCATACATGTACTTTGGATAATAATGACCACCATATTCCACCATCATTTATAACCCCATGCCCCCTCCCTTCCTCTCCAACCCCTCTGCCCTATCTAGAGTTCGTCTGTTCCTCCCATGCTCTCCCTCCCTACCTCACTATGATTCAGCCTCTTTATATTAAGAAAACATTTGACCTTTGGTTTTTCAGAATTGGTTAACTTCACTTGGCATTATCTTCTCTAACTCCATCCATTTACCTGCAGATGCCATGATTTTATTCTCTTTTATTGCTGAGTAATATTCCATTGTGTATGTATGCCACACTTTTTTTATCCATTCATCTATTATAAGGGCATCTAGGTTGGTTCCACAGTTTAGCTATTGTGAATTCTGCTGCTATAAACATTGAAGTGGGTGTGTCCCTATAGTATGCTGTTTTTAATTCCTTTGAGTATAGACCAAGGAGAGGAATAGCTAGGTCAAATGGTGGTTTCATTCCCAATTTTCCAAGAAATCTCCATATTTCTTTCCATATTGACTGCATCAATTTTCAGTCCTACCCACAGTATATGAATGTATGAGTGTACCTTTCCCCGACATCCTCGCCAACACTTATTGTTGTTTGTATGCATAATAGCTGCCATTCTGACTGGAGTGAGATGAAATCTTACAGTAGTTTTGATTTGCATTTCTCTAGTTGCTAGTGATGATGAACATTTTTTCATATATTTGTTGATTGATTTTGTATAATCTTCTGAGAAGTGTCTGTTCAGGTCCTTGGCCCATTTATTGATTGGGTTATTTGGGTTTTTTTTCGTGCTTAGCTTTTTGAGTTCTTTATATACCCTAGAGATTAGTGCTCTATCTGATGTGTGAGGGGTAAAGATTAACTCTCAAGATGTAGGCTCTTTATTCACCTCACAGATTGTTTCTTTTGCTGAAAGGAAACTTTTTAGTTTGAGTTCATGCCATTTATTGATTCTTGATTTTAATTCTTGTGCCAGAGGAGTCTTATTAAGGAAGTTGGGGCCTAATCCCACATGATGGAGATTAGGGTCTACTTTTTCTTCTATTAGATGCAGGGTCTCTGATTTTTTTCCTAAGTCCTTGATCCATTTTGAGTTTTTTGTTTGTTTGTTTGTTTTTGTGCATGGTGAGAGATAGGGGTTTAATTTCATTTTGTTTCATATGGATTCCCCATTTTCCYGGCACCATTTGTTGAAGATGCTGTCTTTTTTCTCCAATGCATGTTTTTGGCACCTTTGTCTGATATAAGATAATTGTAATTTTGTGGGTTAGTCTCTGTGTCCTCTGATCTGTACCATTGGTCTACCAGTCTGTTTTGGTGACAATACCATGCTGTTTTGCATTAAATCTGTATAGTGCTTCCGGAAGTATGATCATTTTGATAGTATTAATTCTGCCTATCCAAGAGCAAGGTAGATATTTCCATTTTCTAAGGTCTTCTTTGACTTCTTTCTTTAGGGTTCTGTAATTTTCATTATATAGATCTTTCACCTCTTTCATTAAGTTAATTCTCAAGTATTTTTTTTTGAGACTATTTTAAATGGGGTAGTTTTCCTCATTTTCCTTTCTGAGGATTTGTCACTGATGTACAGAAATGCCTTTGATTTATGGGTGTTGATTTTATATTCTGCTACTTTGCTGAATTCATTTACTAGTTCTAGAAGTTTTCTGGTGGAACTTTTAGGGTCTTCTAGGTATAGAATCATACTGTCAGCAAATAGTGCTAATTTAAGTTCATCTTTTCCTATACATATCCCTTTAATTTCTTTCATCTGTCTAATTGCTCTGGCCAGTGTTTCAATAATCATGTTAAATAGAAGTGGTAAAAGAGGCCATCCCTGTCTTATTCCAGTTTTTAGAGGAATGCTTTCAATTTTTTCTTCATTTAGACTGATGTTGCCTGAGGCTTAATATAGATAGCCTTTATGATGTTGAGATATGTTCCTGGTATCCCTAGTTTTTCTAGTTGTTTTGAACATAAAGTCATGCTGTATTTTGTCAGATGCTTTTTCTGCATCTACTGAGATGATCATATGATTTTTATCTTTAAGTTTTTATCTTTAAGTTTATTGATGTGATGATTATTGATTTCCGTATGTTGAACCAAGCTTGCATCCCTGGGATGAATCCCACTTGATCATGGTGCACAATCTTTTTGATATGTTTTTGTATTCTATTTGCCAGAATATTATTGAGAATCTTTGCATCTATGTTCATTAGAGATATTGGTCTGAAGTTTTCTTTTTTTTTTTTTTTTGATGTGTCTTTGCCTGGTTTTGGAATCAGAGTGATACTGGCCTCATAGGATGAGTTTGGAAGTGCATAGCAGGTTTATTTGTAATAGCCCCAATCTAAAAGCAGATAAATGTGTTGAGTAGTTGAATGGCTAAACAAACCGATTTATCCATACCATGGAATACTACTCAGTAAATGTAAAGGAATGAACTACTGCTACACAGAACTTGGGTAGATCTCAGGGCATTATACTGATTGAAACAGGGTCCATTTCAAAAGGTCACATACAGTAAGATTCCATTTATACAAYCTCAAAATAGTTGTAGAGATGGAAAACAGATTAGTGTTTGCCAGGGGTTTGGAATGGGAAAGTGGGTGACAGTGGGCCCCATGAGGCCAGCATGGTGGTGACAGGATGGTTCTGACGGGATAATCTGTGGGCCACAGGTGGATATCACACAGATGTGTTCATGTGATAAAATGACACAGAGCTAAGCAGGCACATTAGACCAATACCAATTTCCTAGTTCTATGGGGCACTAGCATTGTGTGAGATAGAACCGTCGAGAGACCTGGTGAGGAGCACAGGAGTCCTCTCGTTATTTTGAAATAGTTCTTAATTATAAATAACTTGGAATTATTTAAGAATAAGAAATGTATTACATATGATTATGTGATGGAGAAAAATGAAGACGGAGGGTGAGGGAAGGCGGGATGGGGGTGGTCAGTTCATCTCCTTGAGAAGGTGACATTTAAGCAGAGTCTTGAAGGAGGGAGGAGCATGAGTTCTGAGTGGCTAGGAGGAAGCTTTCTAAGCAGAGGGAAGAGTGTCTGCAAATACCCTCAGAAAGGTGTGTAGCTGGCACATCCGAGGAATACCCAAGAGGTCATTATGGTGGGAACTGCGGGAGCCAAGGAGAAAAAGGAAGGTGAAGTCAAAGAAATAATGGGGAGAGAAGAGCAGATCGCATGGGACTGCATGTCTCCGTGAGGGCTTTAGCTTTTGCCCTGAATGAATGGGGGCTCTTTTTTTTTTTTTTTTTTGGTACCAGGGATTAAATCTAGGAGTGCTTAGCCACTGAGCCACACCCCCAGCCCTTTTTTACATTTTATTTAGAGACAGGGTCTCACTGAGTTGCTTAGGGCCTCACTAAGTTGCTGAGGGATCCTCCTGCCTCAGCCTCCCAAACCACTGGGATTATAGGCATGCACCAGAGTGCCCAGTGAAATGGGGACTCTTGAGGAGCGAAGAGACGTCTGTAACATGCCTGCTGCTCTGAAAACAGATGCAGGGGTGCAGGGATGGAAGTAGGGAGAGGAGAAGCTATTGCAGAAATCCAGGTGACAGAGGATGGTGGCTTGGGGGGGTGGTAGAAATGGGGGTGGTAAGTGGTTTGGTTTTTGACAGATTCTGAAAGTAGATTCCCCAGGATTTTCTGAAGGATTGGAAAAGGGGTGTGAGAGAGAAAGAAGTCAAGGGTTGATCTGCTGGAAAAYGCAGCCAGGTGTTGACTCAGAGAGGTCTGCTAGTCATCCAGGGAGAAAAGGGAAATTGGCAGCTGGGTGTGTGTCTGGACCTCAGGTGAAAGGTCTGAGCTGCAGGTGTGACCTTGACCTTGGAAGTCACCGGCTGCACTGAATACTGAGCCTGGATGATTTCACTGAGCGCGGGACAGAGCTAGAAGAGAGGAGATGGAGCAGAAGAACTAGGAACGAAGAGTGAAATAAAGCCAGATGAAAAGAGAGTTCCAAGGGGGCGAGAGTGTTCAACTAAGTCAACTGAAGTTTGGGGGTGAAATGGGAGAGAGAATCGACTGTTTGGTTTGGCGCAGGGGTCCTGGTTGGGAGCAGTGATAAATGAAGTCGAGCTGGGGTGGCGGTGGGAGGCACCAGGTATAAGCAGATCCATTTCTTCCCTCCCATTTCAGGAACACTCCATCAAAGTGCTAGAACTGGTCTCTACCATCTGGGACTCGGAGCTTCACATTTCTGGCCTCAGACTCCTCAACAACCTTCCGCTGCCTGACTATGTGCATCCCCAGCTGCGGCGGGTGATGCCTGCCCTGATGGAAATCCTGCAGTCAGACTGCAACATGGCACAGGTGCCTGCGGATCATGACTGAGGCCCTGCCCTCTTGACCAGCACCTAGAGGGAAGAGCAGAGCTTTAGGTCTTCCCTCCCGAGGCCCAGACTCATCCCCCTTCTTGTGCTTTACTCTTTTCTTTATTCAGGTACAAGCCCTGCGACTGATGAGCTACCTGGCACAGAAGAATGACCTTCTCTATGACATTCTCAACTGCCAGGTGACAAAAGCAACTGAAGAGGGAGGGGCTGATGGATGCCAGCTCAGGTAGAAGGGAGGGAACAATTACACTCTCCAGACAAACAGCCCTGATGAATTGTCTTGTCCCTCTTCCTGCCTCTGCACCAGAGGCACTAAAAACTTGCTCCTTTTGTGTTCCCCCAATAGAATGAGAATCCATCCTATTGAGAAGGGTGTTCTCCTTTGAGGGGTTTTCTTTTCGTTTTTTTTCCTTTTCTCTTTTTGGAACTGAGGATCAAACCCAGGGCTTTGCAAATKCGAGACAAATGCTTTGTCACTGAGCTACATCCCAGCCCCTTTGAGGGGTTTTCTAAACTCTGTGAGGAACACAGAAAACAAAAACTAATGTAGATATCTTAATATCTACATTAATTATTTATGGAAAAAAGCATCATTAAGGATAGAAAGGGGTTACTACATAATAATCAGTGGTTCCGTTCACCAGAAGGATGAAGTAATTCTAAACTTGTATGCACCTAATAACATAATCTCAAAATATATATGGCAAAACTAGATGGAATTCTAAGGAGAAGTTAATAAGTCTACCATCACAGTGAGAGATTTGGAAGATTTTAACAACTCTATCAGTAATCAGTAGATAAAAAACTAAATCAAGAGGCTGAGATTGTGGCTCAGAGAGAGAGCACTCGCCTAGCATGCATGAGGCACTGGGTTTGATCCTCATCCCCACATAAAAATAAAATAAAGATTTTAAAAAAACTAAAGCAAGTAAAGATATACTTATGTGAATAACACAAATAAGTTTAAGCCATTAGACACACCTAGAACTCTAYAGTTATGAACTCTACACTCCTCTCAAGCATACAAAAATATTTAGGAAAATTAACCACATACTAAGCCTTAAAATTTTTCTGAACAAATTTCCTAGAATCCATATTATTATCATATCATTCATGTTTTATGACCACAATATAGTTAAATTAGAAGATGATAATTAAAGAAAAACTAAAAAATTCTTTTACAGTTGAGTCTAGGTATATTGGAGAGTTGAGATGATAGGAGGATGGAAGAATAAGAATTTTAGAATTTGCCTGAGATTTCACTCATCCTCTCTCCATTCCCATGTCACAGGTGCACTCCGACTTCCTGAACCTGTTCCAGTCCACACAGCCAGGAAATCTGCTGTTTGAGGTACTGGTGTTCGCTGAGCGGCTGAGTGAGGGCCGGAATGCATCCCACTACCGAGCTGTGAAATGGCATTACAATGAACAGTCCCTGCATGAAGCCCTCTTTGGGGACGAGTCACGACTGGCAGACCGGCTGCTTTCCCTGGTCATCCACCCTGAGGAAGAGGTTCAGATCCAGGCCTGCAAGGTCATAGTCAGCCTGCAGTGTCCCCAGGACGTGGCAGCCCGGCCCTCCTCCTTTCATCCCAGTCATTCCTTCTCTAAAAGTGGGGAATAAAATTAAGGAGAGTCAATAAATGAGTATGGGAGAGAAGCTTGGGGGCTTCTTGGAGCTTGATTTTCTGTCTGTGGACTTCCGGGGCTGGGTGGAGATTTCACTCAGTGTGACCTCTGCTCCAGAGGATGGTAYGACCTGGGCAAATSTCTCCAAACACAGCTCCGCCATGTTTAGGAGACTGACTCTTGCTGCTTTTCAAATCTGAATATGGAACCAAGTACTTTCAGGAAGTTGGGAGAAGGTGGGTGCTATGATTTGGGTTCATATGTTGGAGTTGGATCCAGAGTGATGGTATTGGGAGATGGTATGGACCTTAAAGACATGGGATCTTATGGGAGGTTCTCAGGTCATTGAAGGTATGCCCTCAGAGGGGTTGGAGGACCCCAGTCTCTGTCTTCTTGTTTGGCAATGTGATACTTCCTTACACATGCGCTTCCGCCATGATGTGACCCCCATCTGTTGTTAGATCCTCCTCAGAGGCTGAATCAGGGGGACCTGACTTGATTTTGGACTTTGAATCTCTAAAACTGTGAGCTAATAAATCTCTTTTCTTCATAATGACTACCTTCAGGTATTTTATTTTGATAGTGAAAATCTGACTAATACAGCAGGCTGCAGGGCTAAGACCAAAGATAATCAACAGGAGACAATCTACGGAGCTCTAAATTGGTCAAGATGGATGAGGCTACGCCACAATAACAACCTCCAAATGTTTTTTATTCATCACAGGCCAGCTGGGGACAGAAGGCAGGGATCTGCTCCACATCACCATTACTTAGGAATACAGCTGAGGGAGACTCCTTTGTGTACTTCTACAATTGTTAAAGAAGGAAAAAGGAATGTAGTGGTAGTATCTGACTCAGAAATTCCACTAGAAATGATGCTTAGCACTTCTGCTCATCTGATTGGCCAAAATGGGCAGGGAAGATCAGTCTTACCACATGCCCAAGAAAGAACTGAAAATATTTGGTGACAACACTAATAACAGTGAACCTCAGGCATACTGGGTAAATGTGAGTTCTGGAATCAGACTGCTAGGTTTCAATTTGACTCTGTCCCTTACTGTGTGACCTGTTAACCCTATTTGAACCTCATTCCCTCATCTGTAAAATGAACAGGAAAACAGTGCCTATCTCATGAGGCTGTTGGGAGGAGATTATGTGAGTTACTGTAAGGCACAGTATTCTTTTTTTTTAATATTTATTTTTTAGTTTTTGGTGGGCACAACATCTTTGTTGGTATGTGGTGCTGAGGATCGAACCCGGGCCGTATGCATGCCAGGCGAGTGCTCTACCACTTGAGCCACATCCCCAGCCCAAGGCACAGTATTCTGCACACAAGTCCCAAAGACTGACTCTGAGGAGCTATGACATCATCACTGAGAAAATGAAAGATTAGCCCTGAAGCATGCTGGGTAGGTTGAGTTTCTCTCCTCTCTCCAGGTTACAGGCACTGGTGGGCAAGGGGATAGGCCTCTTAGAGCTCTTTAGGAACATCCCGAAATGCCCCTGGAACTTTGCCTTGTGAACCAGAGCAACAGTGTGAATAGTATAAAAACCGTCAGCATGACGCCTCCAGAAACAAGATTGTCCAACCAAGTGTCGTCCCCCGTCTTCAGGTCGCCCCGTTTGGTTGCGTTTCCCACGTGTTCACTCACAGGGTTATCTGTGAGTCCTTGCTGGGTTGCTACTGTTTAAGAAACTGTTACAGGAGAAAAACCTAGAATTGAAGCTATTCGCTGTCTGCTATTACTCAGTTTAGGAAGCAGAACATGGAATCCCCCGATGTTCTGCAGAAGCAGGATTTAAAAACTACAACCTCRTCCAGGACCCACCATGGCATTTTACTGAGAGGAAAACAAATGCAAAGAGAGAGAGAGAGAGTGACTTGCTCTAGGTCACGTTCAGGTCTGGGGCAGAAATAAGGACTAGAACCTTCTATGGGCTTCTTGCCTTCCATATTCTTTGACCTGAGCCCCATGAGTATGGATCATGGATTCTAAACCAGGAGAAGGGGGGACCTTGATATCTCTGATTTTTAGGGGTCACTTTAAGATTGAACTGTATAAGGAAATTTGTCCCCACTTAACCCCTGACCCAGGCCCACATCCCCTGGGTGGGCGGGCTGAGGTGAGGGAGATGGTGGTGGTTGATGAGAACGGCTGGTCGGAGAGCCAGTTCCTGCAGAAGAGCCAGCCTGGTCACCATCTCCCAAAGTTTGACTTGTCCTGAGTGGAAAGATCAGAATCAGCGTCCCCATGAGTTCAGGCCTGAGGCTGCAACTTCCTGCTACTAGGACACACTGTGGTCACCCCCTTGGAACTTGTCAAAAACCAGCTTCATCCTAGCCACCCCTCAGCCAGCTCCCTAAGTGCCTGTGTCACAGGTGAGCAATTGGGCATCATCTGCAAATTCTCCTCCCCACCTCAGCCACCCAGTTTGCTCACATCCACGCCACTGCCCTGTCCCCCACAATGGACTCTCCTCCTTTTGGTCTCCATTCTCTCCAGCCCTCATCCTCCAGGCTGACCCTAGAATCCCATGTCTCATCCATCCTCCAAAACCTTCAGGGGCTGTTAATAGGCAGTGAATCTTTCCTTAACCTTAAGGTAATGTCACTTGATCTGACGGACATGTACTCTCTTGGGCTGCAGGTACAACTCAGTGGTGTTTGGCTAGCATGCATGAGGCCCTGGGTTGGACCCCTTTCTTATATGATAGAGTCAAATGAATTAGCTTTGCAGTTAAGGCCTTTCATGATATAGTCCTTTTTTCCCACCCTATACTGGGGATTGAGCCCAGGGGTGCTTTACCACTGAGCTACAGCCCCTGTCCTTTAAATTTTTTTTTTTAATATTTATTTTGAGACAAGGCATCCTTAAGTTGCCCAGGTTGGCCTTGAATTTACAATCCTCCTGCCTCAGCCTCCTGAATGGCTGGGATTACAGGTGTGTGCCACTGTGCCCAGCCAATCTGATCCTCTTGCCTGCTCCAGACTTCTATGTCCAATCTCTGCTCCAGCTAAACTGGAATGAACTAGTCATTGCTCTGCTACTTGTACCAAATGTAGTCTTGCCTCCAAACTTCCAATGCAGCCTTCCCCTGCCTCAAGTGACCTCCCCTCTCCTTTCCACTGTACAGTGTCTTCTGGTTTCATCAGTTGAACCCGTCCTCCTGCACCTAGATCTTTCTTCCATTACACCAGCCTTTGGTGCTTCCTACAGTTCTTTTCATCTCATTTGACATTTGCCAAATTAAAACTTGGACCTTATAAACCATGATTTTTTCTTTCTTTCTTTTCTTTTTTCTTTTTTCTTTTTTTTTTTTTTGTGACAGGGCATATGTGACTTCTTATTGAAGTCTCAAAGGAAGGGCCTGCAGTCACAACAAGATAGCAAAACAGGTTACACAAGTGTATATGGTAGTGCTGCAGCCCGGGCTGTGGACATGAGGCACATACCACATATGGTGTGTATTGCTTGATAATGATAATAAACAACTACTTATTGTTATGTATTAACTATACTTTTTTTCTGTACTAGAGATTAAACCCAGGGGCACTTTACCACTGAGCCACACCCCCAGATATTTTTTATATTTTAGAGATAGGGTCTCGCTAAGTTGCTTAGGGCCTCACTAAGTTGCTGAGGCTGGCTTTGAACTTTCCATCCTCCTGCTTCAGCCTCCCCACGTCATTGAGATTACAGGTGCACACCCCCCCCCCAGCTTATACTATGGTTTTTATCGTTATTTTAAAGTGTACTCCTTCCAAAGTTAACTATAGAACAGCCTTGGCAGGTCCTTCAGGAGGGATTCCGGAGGCCTTGTTATCAGAGTTATGACAGCTCCGTGCCCATCATTGCCCTGAAGACCTTCCAGTGGGACAAGATGTGGGGACGGAACAGTGATCCTGGTGATCCTGACCCTGTGTGGGCCTAAGCCACCGACTGGGTTCGAGTCTGTTTTTAACAAAAAATGTTAAAAAAGAAAAACAATTTAGTTATAAAATAYAGAAAAGTTGAAAGAATAAGGATATAAAAAGTAAAATATTTTTATAGCTATACAATGTCTTTGTTTTATGCTAAAAGTTATTATTATAAAAGTAAAAAAAAAAATTAAAAATGTAAACATTTGTAAAGCAAAAAATTTTAGTCAGCTAAGGTGAATTAATTATTGAAAAAAGAAAAAGATACTTTATAAATATAGTGTAGCCTATGGGTACCAAATCTTTTTGAAGTATATTTTTTAGTTGTTGATGGATCTGTAATTTATTTGCGTGTTTGTTTGTTTATATGCAGTGCTGAGATTTGAACCCAGTGCCTCACACATTCTAGCTGGGCCAAGTACTCTACCACTGAGCCACACCCCTAGCCCCATGTGTACCATATTTATAAAGTCTCTGGTAGTGGGCAGTCATGCCCTAGGCCTGTGCATTCACTCACTGACTCACCCCAAGAAATTTCCAAACCTGCACACTCCATTCCTGGTAAGTGCTTGATTTAGTCAGCTTTTTCACTGCTGTGACTAAAGGACCCAACCAGAACAACTGTAGAGGAGGAAAAGTCTGTTTTGCTATCTTGTTGTGACTGCAGACCCTTCCTTTGAGACTTCAATAAGCAGTCACATATGCCATGCTGCAAAAAAAAAAAAAAAAGCATGATTTATAAGATCCAAGCTTTAATTTGTCAGATGTCAAATGAATTATGAATTGAGATGAAAAGAACTGCAAGAAGCACCAAAGGCTGGTGTAATGGAAGAAAGATCTAGGCACAGGAGGACGGGTTCAACTGATGAAACCAGAAGACACTGTCCAGTGGAAAGGAGAGGGGAGGTCACTTGAGGCAGGGGAAAGGCTGTATTGGAAGTTTGGAGGCAAGACTACATATGGTACAAGTAGCAGAGCAATGACTAGTTCATTCCAGTTTAGCTGGAGCAGAGATTGGACATAGAAGGCTGGGGCAGGCAATAGGGGTGGTGGTGTACACCTGTAATCTAGTGGCTTGGGAGTCGAAGGTAGGAGGATCAAAAGTTCAAAGC